CCGTTTAGGCCGTTTAGGGTTTAGGGCCGTCTAGGCTTTAGGGTTTGAAGCCCTGGGCGTGTCGGAGCTCGGGATTGCAAGCTTCCGGTGCACAACAGCAGCGGCCAAAATCCTGCGATGACGAAAGAGTACTGTAGCGGCCTCAATACTTAGAATCGGGTTTTGGGGGTTCCTTTAAAGGGTTCAATAAGGGCTACTATAGGGGCCTTTTAGGGTATAGGGGCCTTAATAATTAGAATAGGGTTTTGGGGCCCATTATACTATAATCATAATAAGGAACCCCCAGAATAGTATAGGTAATTCTTCAGGCCCCTATGTTGCTGAGTGTTCTAGTGCTGCAGTCGTCGTCGGAGTACTACGACGACGACTAAAGCTAGGACTTGTGCTACAACTGGTCGCACTCCTACTGACACTACTACGAGTAACAGTGGTGGAGTAGACGTAGCAGCAACCCACGCTAAGGACGTAAGAACTACAGCTTTGCTCTCATATGTTCTCATCACAACTTAAAACCGACACACTTCCCTCACCAGGGCCCGGGCCTCAGCACTGCTTCCAGCGGACCGTCCGCGGAATCCACTAGTAGCTCCATGGCGGCTTATCGGGGCCCAGGGCTCTTGGACTGGAATGGCTTGTGCGTGGGGGGGCTTACTGAAAAGCCTCAGCTTCCTATGGACGGGTTGACGTCTCCGGCTGAGGGGTCTTGAAGTAGGCGACGTAGGCGAGGGTTTGGGGGCAGCTCTTTGAGTTGGGGCTTGATGGGTCCAGGCGTAGTACTAAGTCTAAAGTGTCTAAAGAGCAAGCGCTGAGAGAAGGATCGGTGGACGGTTGACGGATACACGGGCTCAATCGCCCTCCTGCTCTGTCTCTCTCTCCCTCTGTTTTTTTCTTTTTCCGCTCGCTGTCTCGCTTTCTCTCTCTCTGGTGCTCTCCGGCTTGCTCCCTCCATCTCTCCTTCCCTCCCTCAGACATACACTCACTCAGCCGCATCACAGCCGCAAACACCAGACACACGCACGAATCGGAAAGAAGACATTTGGATTAACATTGACTAAGCGTTGACTGCAGTTGTTGATTGGGTCAAGACCCCTTACCTCACTCCTGATTCGAGTTCGGATTGAATTGTCTATTAGAGTCTATGAGTCTATAACCTCAAAGCCCTGCAAGAACCGACAAAACACCAAGCCTTCGCTCCAGCTGACTCCGGTACCTCACACTTACAACCTGACACGAGTCGAGATGTACTGATCACATCTAACACCGACCTTGCGTTTCAGAGTTGGCAGACCGCGCATTTTCGGACTAGAAGCGGTTCTCGTCGCAAGCTGCTACGTCAGCAGCCACGGTGCCGGCGTCACATTCACCAGCACTTCGAGTACAGCGAGGCCCTAGCCGGCCCTGCCCGGGCGTACAGCGCCCAAGCGGGGCTGCTGTGGGGGGCGTCTCACTCCTTGTACCACTTGCGGGCGTGAGCTGCGTAGGTCTCAGGAGACACGGCCTGGCATGTGCAAGGATACCCTTCGCCCCAGGCTGGCCCAGTTCCATCGCAGCTCCTTAGGATTTAGAGTTTAGGGTTTTGGGTTTAGTACCACAACATAATTACACCAAGCCACAAGCCTCCACATGCAGACCCTGAAATCCCAACTACCCGAAGCGTCTGCAAGACGTTTAAGCTAACCTAAACCCTAAACCCTAAACCCTAAACCCTAAACCTTCCCAAGTTGAAGCTCCTAAAAACCTCCCAACCCCAAGGCCTTCTGAAACACCAAATAAAATACAGTATTTTTATTAAATGTAATAATTTATCTTTATATTATAACGAAATAAATATAATGAATATCTAAAAAAGGATTTGATTTTTTTGGTTTTAATTTAACCCTGAAAAAGCGGAGCCCAGCCTCCACGACAATGGGCATGAAGCCATGCAGCGTGCCGCACAGCTCGGAGCACTGGCCTCCACAGAGAGCTTAGATGTTTCAGAACCCTAAACCCTAAACCCTAAACCCTAAACCCTAAACCCTACACCCTAAACCCTAAACCCCCTGTTTGCTCGTTTCCCTCTCCTGTGGTGTCGCTGCGTTTTGTGGCTTTGCCTGTGCGTTTCCTTCCGTTGTTTGGTTAAGGGGCCGTTTCTCCCTCGAGGTTTGGAGCATTGGAGTTTTGGGTTTGGTGTTTTTTTAAAGATTCGGCTTTAATGTTTGAGCTTTTCAAAGAAATCTGCGAATCATGGCAAGACGCCGGATCTAGAGCTTCTGCTTTGGGGTTTGGGATTTCGTGTCTTGGGTACTTGGGGTTTTGGGGTTTCGGGTCTGGGGAGAGTAGGGCTTGCAGGGCAGATCGCGGCATCATGATATTGTTAGGGTTTAGGGTCTAGGATATATATCCCTAAACCGAAAAAAGCCTAAACCCTAAACCCTGAACACTAAACTCTTATAGGGACAATGCAGGACGCCTGTATCATCTAGGCTGGCCGATGAAATCGGCCGTAAACGACTCGTACGTAGGGTCCTCTTGAGCCCAACAAGGGAAAGTAGAAAATAGCCAAAAGGCCCACCTAGTTATGCATGAGGCTCCCGAACCCAGAAACCCTAAACCCTACCCAATATAGGGGCCTTAGTAATTAGAATAGGGTTCTGAGGTCCAGTATACTATGCTTCTAAAGAGGAACCCTATTAGCTATGCATATTCCTCAAGTTATCTTGGAGGGCTGAACGAGATGGATGGGAGTGTTGAGGGTTTGGGATTTGGGTTTAGGGGTTTATACAGAGGATGTTTCCTGTGCCGGCTGGCTGCCTGCTTGAAGCTTGACATGCAAAGCCCTCATTCCAGAAACCCGGTGTACTGCGGCTCCCGCCGTAGAAGACACCCTCGCGCTGGATGAAGGTATTGATACCTGAAGGCCGTGAAAACTTACCCTAAACTCTAAACCCTGAACTCCCCGTCCCGGCATCTTGGGATTTTAGGGTCTTGGATTTGTCTTCCTACTGGACTGATGAAGAGGAAGGGGCGTCTCGTCTCAAGATTTCTCAGCTTCTGGGACCGCTCTATCGCCTGGCTTGATGGGGTTCGGGGGTGAAGGCTCGGAATGAGCAATGGGAGCTGAAGTCACCAAGCTCTGAAGCAAGAGGGCGAAGCTGTTGGCATCAATCTGATGCTGACTTACGATAATATACTACATTTACTTCATAACTATACTATACTACACTATACTATACTATACTATACTATACTAAACTATACTATACTAGACTATACTATACTACATAACCACAACCGTGCGATCTGATTTTCTCGCCCGAAGCTGCTAGTCCCTCCTTGGTCTCGTACCTTTCGCCGCCACTTATCGTACAAAGTCCGCTTGGCCCAGTGGTACTCGCAAACACGCTGGCCTTCTTTGCGGGGTCGCCCGCAACGCCATGACTTGCCGTCCGAGTAAGTGCACCGGTCCTCCTCGGCCAGCTGCACTGTTTCTACTTCATGCACCTGGGGCGTGGCTGCCACGGACGCTGGCTGGCACTTCCGCAGGTCGTGCGCATGACGCTGGCACCGTGACCGGATGTCGGAGCGCACGTTGCGCTGGCACTGCCGGATGTCGGCGTGCACGCCACGCTTGTGGTGCTTCTTGGGGCCGTCGTAACTTGCGGGGTGGTTGCCTGAATGAGCAGCACATCGGATTCCAGCAACCCCGTGATGATCGGACTCTGCAACACGCCTGACAGGCCGTGACAGGCAGCCTGGAACGTTGCAGGTCTTTCCTCCATGAACCCAGCAGCGGCGTCCGGCCCGACCGTATTTGTCCGCCACTTCGACGCGTCCCCAGGGAATCCTGACTTCTAAACCCCTCCTAAAAAGTTAAACTTTCAGCTCCCTTATTATGGTTCATATAGAAACCCAAAAAGTTAAAGTCCTAAGTCCTAAGAGCCAACCAGAAGAACGCCAAGAATCCTGCTACAGCCTGTCGCTGTGCAGGGCAGCCCATGCCTGCTGCACCCTAAACCCTAAACCCTAAACCCTAAACCCTAAACCCTAAACCCTAAACGCCAAGAATCCTGCTACAGCCTGTCGCTGTGCAGGGCAGCCCATGCCTGCTGCAGCGGGAGCCTGCTGGGCCAAGGTGATCAGCAGCCACTCGGCGAGTGGACAACCTGCATGGATGAGGGTTTAGGGGCTTATGGGTTTAGGGGTT